TGGATTTTTTTTCTTCTCCTCAAAGCCCTGCAGTACATTGTTGTGTATTCTAGTCGTAGGTCCTTCTGGTTGTGCTATGTGGGACGCCACCTCAGCATGGCTTGATGAGTGGTGCTAGGTCTGCACCCAGGATCTGAACCAGCAAGTCTTGGGCCACCAAAGCAGAGCACACGAACATAACCATTCAGCCATGGGGCTGGCCCCTGTTAGATTTCTTATCAGCAACAATAAAGGTCACAAGACAAGGGAAGAATAGAATCTTTAATATGGAAAGTTAAAATGGAAAGTTAATGTCTATGTAGAATATGGAATTCTACTACTATTCAAAATGAGGGTGAAAGACATATTTGGTCAAAGAAAGGCTGAGATTGTTTACCCTTGCTCTAATTCACAGAACTACCAGAGGAGGATCTTTGTGAAAAAGAAAACGGAACCTAGGAGGAAGGGGGGATGTAGAGAGCAACGATGAGCAAACAAGTTGGTAACAATGTGGGTAAATTTATGCATTGACTGTAAAACAACAACGAATATGTGTGTATGTGCGTGTGTTAGGGTTATTAAAAACAGAGTTGAGCTAAAGTCCTGGACAAAAACAGCACGGAGGAGGTGGTGCTGAGGCGACGATACGCGAGTAGAATTAAGGCACTCTATGGTCCTTGGATTACTTAGGAGGGTAAAGACCTTATTAAGATAATTATCAATGTTAAAGTTTACAGGTAACTGTCAAAAATATATAGGAGGTACAATTTCCAAAACAGCAGAAGGAAGACAAAGGCGAGGGAATCACTCACTCCCCTGGAAGACTGGGAAAAAGTGAACACGGAGAAGCATGGGAAACAGGAAGTGTTCTCTCTTCATTTGTCTTCATTTGTCTCATTGACTCTGTGAGAGCTGGCATCCTGTCTTGTTTCTGCACCCTCATATGTATAGAACAGCACCTGACACGAAGAAATTGCTCATTAAATGGCAATATGGGGTATTCTCCTTTTGTATTTTTTATAAGAAAAATATCACCGCATTTCTAACACCTTTGAAAACTAACTGGGTTGAACATTTCCCCATTAATTTGGTAGGTGGATGTAATTATGTCTATCTATAACTCTTGCGCTTTTTAAAACTGGGCTCTTGATATTTCTAAATTTACTTTTAAAAGCTCTTTATAAAAGACACATCTTCACCCTTTGCCTGTCTTCTCTGCTATTCATTTTATCAGCTTGTTGCCTTTTAAGTTAGTGATTTTAGTTTTCAATTTTTACAGAATCAAACCTTTCCATCTTTATTTCTTCTATCGGTAAGTTTAGAAAGTACTGGTTTTCAATTATCTCCTCACTTCAGTTGCCTTTGACTATGGAGAACTGTTAAGTTCTCTGTTAAGGAGAATGTGTTTAGGACACGTGTGGCCACAGGCTGGTGTGATACAGCTAGGAGATAGAGGTTGGTCTGAATTTAAAAGGACATCAGCCCAAGAATCCAGAAGTATCCTGACCCTGCCACATTTATTACAATTATAAAATATGAATATTGGAAGGCTTAAAAGCTGATACATGTCTGGCTTAGGTTTTTTAAATTCAACACAAAAGGTATCAGCCTACTGAAAAGGCAAGATTAATTAGAAAAGAGATTCTCACCAAAAGATGAGGTATTCATCTTTTTACTACTCCCAAATGTTTTCCTAAAACAGCTTTCATAATTTTGTTTAAAGGCATTAGTAGAGAAGAATAATAATTTTATTTTTTGAGGAAGATTAGCCCTAACATCTGCCACCAACCCTCCTCTTTTTGCTGAGGAAGACTGGCCCAAAGCTAACATCCGTGCCCATCTCCCTCTCTTTTATTCAGGACGCCTGGCACAGCATGGCTTGATGAGTGGTGCATAGGTCTGCACTTGGGATCCAAACCGGTGAACCCCGGGCTGCTGAAGCGGAACATGCACACTTAACTGTTGCACCACCAGGCCGGCCCCCAGAGGCAGATTTTTAAAAACTTGCATTACACAGAAAAATTGGACTCACTGATGTATACAAAGTGACATACATCTTTAGGTTTCAGAAACTTGGGGACCAGATTTTGATTAATGATGGTCTCCCATTATTACTGTTGCTCTTCTGAGCATTGTTAATCTTGCTGAAATCTTCGATTTCAATGGCCTGCAGGACATTTGTATTGTCCAATATAGTAGCCACTAGCTACTTGTGACTATTTAAACTTTTTTTTTTGAGGAAGATTAACCCTGAGCTAACATCTGCTGCCAATCCTCTTCTTTTTGCTGAGGAAGACTGGCCCTGAGCTAACATCCGTGCCCATCTTCCTCTACTTTATATGTGGGACGCCTACCACAGCATAGCTTGCCAAGTGGTGCCATGTCCGCACCTGTGATCCAAACCTACAAATCCCAGGCTGCCAAAGCAGAACGTGCAAACTTAACTGCTGTGCCACTGGACCGGCCCCTCAAACTTTTTTTTTGAAGATTTTATTTTTTTCCTTTTTCTCCCCAAAGCCCCCCGGTACATAGTTGTATATTCTTAGTTGTGGGTCCTTCTAGTTGTGCCATGTGGGATTCCACCTCAGCGTGGCTTGATGAGCAGTGCCATGTCCACGCCCAGGATTTGAACCAAGTGAAACTCTGGGCCACTGCAGCGGAGCACTCGAACTTAACCACTCAGTCACAGGGCCAGCCCCTATTTAAACTTAATTAAAATTTAATAAAATTTAAAATTCAGTTCCTCACTAGCCTCAAGTGCTCAATAGCTACATGTGGCTAGCAGCTACCACACTGGACAGTGCAGATATAAAACATTCCTGTCTTGCGGAAAGTTCTGACGGACAGCTTTGCCTTGTCTTTCAGAACTCCCAGGTGTCTTCTGGGCTGTGTCTCCACCACCGTGACTCTATTTCAATGGAGCCCTCTCCTCCAATTTCATTCTTTCAGATACATTCTTGCTCTCCCTGCAGCTCCACACTGACTCTTCTGAAAATGGGGGCTGTGCACTTACTCAATAAACATTTACTAAAAAGTACTTACTCAGTGCCATGTGAAGGGAAATGAGGCACATATAACTCTAGTGTGACTGACTCCAGTTCGGGTGGCATACAGCAGACCTGCCTTCCCTCTGCTGTCACCCTTCACCCATTCTGCCTATTTAGTCCCAAACTGCCCTCTTGCTGGTGATGGAGGAAGAGATGAAGAGCCACGTGTGGACACATCACTGATCAAATGCTACTTAAGGCCTGCAATCCTATCTGGGCCCATTTTTCACCTAGGGTTGCATACAGGTATTTTTGTCCAGTCAAGAGCTTCTCACGGCAACTGGAAGACAGTAACTACATATATTTCTTCAATATTTGTCACAAGTATCAGTTTAGAGCCTTAATGATAACTGCTTTTATATAATACTAAACTACACCAACACTGGGGCTGAGCGTTGGCCCAGAACTCTCCCTAGAGGAAACCAGAATATGAACTGAGTATTAAAGATCGGGAAATTCTTGTCGATGTTCCTAACTGAAATAGTTCTGCTTACAGACGAAAGGAAAAAAAGCATGCTTAAGCATTTCAGTAAAGTGTCATGCCATCTGCTTTCAAATGCTTCCTAGCAAAAATATAATACAGATAGAGCAAATATTAGAAACTTATGTTAAACGTAGGCAATGAACACGTAAGTGATCAAGGTACTGGTCTTTCAGCTTTCATTATGTTTAAAATTTTTCATAAGTTGAAAAAATACGGCATTCCACTGGCATATCCTGCAGGCTTCAGTGGTTTTTAGTAGTTTGTTCCTTTTTATTGCAAAATAGTGCTCCACTTGTATGGGTATGTCACATTTTGTTTCGCCATTCACCAGTTGGTGGGCATTCCGATTGCTTCCAGTTTTTGGCTATTCTGAATAATGCTGCAAGGATTATTCACATACAAGTCTTTATGTCGGCTTCAATGGTTTCACAAATAAGCTTAAAACATTAACAATGTTTAACAAGAAGGGCTTGTGCACAGGCCTCATGCAGTAGTGCTATTTTTCAAGCCTCAAGTTTGATAAAATCAGAATGACCAGAACTTTCAGAAAAGGTCTTCCTGGCTAATTTAGTTTTCTGGTGATGTGAGGGTTTAACATGACATCTTTTTGTTTTGTTTCAATGTGTCCCTGAATTCTGCTTTTGCAAACGCAAGAGAGTGAGCCCAACAGTATCTCATAGATGATTAAAGACTCTGCAGGGTCTCCCACTGACTGAACAGTAAGCTGCTGTCCAGGACTGCAGAGAACAATTTCCAGCAGAATGTGTTGATCAGGCTCTGAATCTCTAACAGCATGAGGTTGCTTTCACAAGTAATTTCCTAATATGAGCAGTTTTTAAAAAAATCTGCTTCTAATCATCTCACTCCCATTCATTAGCGCCTACTTACGCCATGCACTTTACAGACTTGAATACTGTCGGGCAGCGCACAGACTCCTGGCACACAGGTGGGCACAGCAGTGATAATGGTGGCGCTGCACTGCTCTCTCACCATATAGCACACGCGCCTGGTCTGGAACTTAGGTCTGCCTCCCAGGCTTGTTCTTCCTTCCACTGCTTGGTGCCAACCTGCACCTGTAATTGCCCTTCTTAAAAAATAATCCTGCAGAGATCAGGAGTAAGTAGTTTGTTTTCAGTCTGATACCAGTACCAGCTGATACGCTACCAAATTCTTGCACTAATTTCTATGAAGCAAGCTGACTTATCACCTATGTATACTTACTCATCTGAGATACTAACAGTAGCTACCATTCATTGGGGCATAATATATGTCAGACACCAGCAGGTTCTTTCTAGTAATTTTCTCTTTCAATATTCTCAAAATATCTATGGGATGGATACTACTATTAGCCACATTTTAAAACTGAGAACACTGACGACTGTCAAAGAAGCGAAGTTGCCCAAGGATGCCAAGTTGTCAAGATTATTTCCTTCATATACTGATCAAAAATATTAGTGACCTAGAAACCATGTCATTTCAGATTTTCAGCATTTATAAAAAGAAGACTATTTTATTTTTGCTTTGGGCAGCAGCTGACATAAAACGATCTAGACTTGTAAAGCCAACTTTGCTGTTTCCTCAACCTTTCCCTTGGATCATGAATTCTTTTGGAGCCAACAAGTGCTCCAAAGAAAACTCCCTAAATTGTTAAGAAACAGGCAGGCATCCCTTCAGAAAAATCAAGACTAGGATGTTTAGCTACTAAAGTGTTACCCCTAACTAGCCTCAGATCGCACAGCTTCACTGGAGCAGCTCTGGAAGGGGTGGGCTCCCTCCCTGCAAATCCCTCCCATCAGAGAACACCTGCAGCCCAGCACAAGCTAGAGGTTTGGACTGGAGGCCCACACGAGGAGACTCAAAGTCTTCAGACCTTCGCATCCGGCCTGTGAAGGAAAATTCTTAACTTAGGAGGAACATAGGAAGTGTTTTAGGACCACTTACTCCACATCTACATTCTGCAACAAAAAAAAAGCCTGCAATAGTCCAAGAAAAAAGGCAAAGAACCCGTCTACCTCAAGGCTATGGGCCCCGCAACCCTTAGCACAGTTATCGTCAGGTGAAATTGCTTCCCATGGTGAGCTTCTTCCCTGTCTCCTGGGTTAAGCACAATGATGCCAAGGCTCGCTCTCAGTCATTAACACTCAACACTATCACCCCTTCTTTAAGAATTTCAAACAACGATACAGGTCTGGTTTAATTCTTCCTTTTGCATTTAGGTAAGACTGTTGTTTCCCATACCAGTTTTACATGATCTAGGTTTTTTGTCTTTTTTTTTTTGAGGAAGATCAGCCCTGAGCTAGCATCTGCTGCCAATCCTCCTCTTTTTTTTTTGCTCAGGAAGACTGGCCCTGAGCTAACATCTGTGCTCATCTTCCTCTACTTTACACGTGGGACGCCTGCCACAGCATAGCTTGCCAAGCAGTGCCATGTCCACAAATGGGAACCGAACCGGCGAACCCCAGGCCAGCGAAGCAGAACGTGCACATTTAACTGCTGCGCCACTGGGCCAGCCCCTCTAGTATAGTTCTGAAAACCATAAACACATTGAAATTAAAACACAAAATGTTAGGAATCAAAAATAACACAGGGGCCAAAGACCATGGTATGAGGTAGTCCATAGCGTAGTTTATATGCATATCACCCTGCCTCATCCTTCCCAGAGGCAGGCTCAGGAAGCCACAGGGAGCCACTGAAAGGCCTCTTCAAGATGACATGGCCATCACCGTCCAACTGTCAAGTTTGAAACAGCAACCTAAACCAAGACCAAGCTGGGCTGTTCTATCCAAAGGAAGCCCACGTGTCTTCTGCAACAGAATTTCTGTGCAGGTGAGCCCCAGCCCCAGGACAGTGGTGCTGTGCTGGGGAGGTGGCTCCCTGAGCAGGAGAGTGATGTCTGGAGATTAATATTGAAAGCTGCGCTTGGTCTGGATGTCATCAAGAATCTGCTGTAGCTCCTCATCTTCAAACCGCCCCTCGAGGCTGCAAGAAGAAAACCAAGAGAAGTGAGTCTTAGTGATAGACGATGTTCCCACGCTTCTTTAACGCGTGCTCAGCTTTGAGCACCATGGGCCCACTTCTCCATTTACCCCCAAACACTGACACCTTTACATTTCAACCATATTTCTTTCCTGCCTTTCCTTTTAAAAACATTATGAAGTATTTCAAACATATAAAAGGTACAGAAAATAAGTAAACTTAACTTGATTTAGATTTCTTTACTAAATATAACAGGAACAAACTGATGGCTCTGTATGCGCTCCCATCCCAATATCTGCCCCTCCTTCCCCAGAAGTAATCACTATCCTAAATTTGGTATTTATCATTCTTATACATATTTCTAGACTTACTATATGTACATGTAAATGCATCTATAAGCAATATGCAGCAGTTTCTAAACTTTATAAGAAATGGCATTACAGTGTATGTATCCTTCCGCAATTTTCTTGCTCAAACATCATTGTGGCACTTGGAGGACATTATTCCGTGTTGTTCTAGTTCATTAATTATTTCACTGTTATATAATAAACACTGATCACACATGATTTAGTCATCTATTCTCTTGCTGACTGAGACTGTTGTCAAGTTTCTGCTGTCACTAGCAACGCTGCAACTCCAAGGCACTAACACTGGAACGCGCATCTCCCTTTAACCCGCACGAGATGCTTTCAGGGCATGTACTCAGGAATCGATTCTGGGGTCATACGGTACATTCATCTTTACTACACGTAGCTAAATTATTCTTCAAAGAGACTCTACTAACTTGCACTTTTTTTTTATTAAAGACTGGCACCTGAGCTAACAACTGTGGCCAATCTTTCCCCTCCCTTGCTTTTTCTCCTCAAATCCCTCCAGTACACAGTTGCACAATTTAGTTGTGTGCCCTTCTAGTTGTGGCAATGTGGGATGCTGCCTCAGCGTGGCCCGACAAGCAGTGCCATGTCCGAACCCAGGATCTGAACATGTGAAACCCCGGGTTGCCGAAGCAGAGCATGTGAACTTAACCACTCGGCCATGGGGCCGGCCCCCTAACTTGTACTCTCAGCATGAGTGTATAAGTTTCAGATGTTCCACATTTTTGCTAACAGATGGTATTTATAAGTCCATCATTCTCATACTCTTAAAAAAGGTACTCTCATTCAATGTTGGTGACATCTATCCAGATTTTAAATGCACACACCTTTTATTCATTTATTTAATTTCCTATTTAATTTTTTTTTGGTGAGGAAGCTTAGCCCTGAGCTAACATCTGTTGCCAATCTTCCTCTTTTTTTTCTGTCTCCCCAAGTCTCAGTACACAGCTGTTTATCTTAGTTGCAAGTCCTGCTAGTTCTTCTATATGGGATGCTGCCACAGCATGGCTTGATGAGCAGTGTGTAGGTCCATGCCCAGGATCGGAACCAGCGAACTGTGGGCCACCGAATCAGCATGTGCGAACTTCACCACTACACCACCAGGCCAGCCCCAGCGTGCACCTTTTAGACACAATAATTCTACTTGTAAGAATTTATACAATACACACAGAGCCTATCACAACTGGTACTAACCTTGGGATCAGAGCCTTGGACTCCTCAGCAGTCTCTGGACAAAGGTTGGCCAAACAGGCCAACTCAAACTTATGAAGCTTCTTCTGAAGCAACAAGCTGATCATAGCAAAGAAAATCAAAACAAACAAACATCAAATGATGAATAGGAAACAGAAGATCAAATGTAGCTAGCTTCAAGGAAGAGAAAAAGTACAGCACTTGCAACCTTTCCATTATGGTTAGGCTGGCTGCAAAACCGTACTTTCAAATCACTTCCTGTTCCTATTCCTGGAGAACAGGAAGTTACAACAAAATCAGGCAGAGACAATGAAAGTAAAGAGAGCACACCAGGGCAGAGAACCCTTGCTATGATAAGTTTTGGAAAATTACTACATACCTCAAGGACTATACCACCTTTCCCCTAGGAATTTATTTTGTTGCTCTCTGCTCTTCCTACCACTTTTTCTTGCTTCCTTTGATTATTAATTATATGTCAAACACATGATGTTATATGTTCCCAAGCTATTAGGTATTTTGACTTAAAGTGTGTAAACTGCATTTTATCTTAAATGTACTTCTAGTTCAAACTGTATAAAAGAATATTGTCACTACAAATCATAACTTGGATTTTCACGCATCTACCTGTTAAAATAGAGCTCATCCACATTAAATTTGGTTTCAGAGAGGACCTTAATTATGCATTCAGAAACAAAACATTTACTGTGCTTATCAAACTCTATTACAAGCACATGAGTTATTGTACAAAATTTAGAAAAGACAGAAAGATAGAAAATAAAAGCTACCCATATAGCTACCTAAACAAAATCAACGTTACCATCCTAGTACACCATTCCAAACGTTTCTCTATGTTTTGGAATATAAACTCACACATTCTGTTTTGTAACTTTTTGTCACTTAATAAAGCTATTTTCATTTGGTAAAGAAAATACTGTAAACTTAGATAGGAAGAGGTTCAATAATATAGCATACATATGTGTGTGGAAGGATTTGTTGTAAAATGAACACATGCTCTTTTACAAACAATACAAAAGAAAATGCCAAAATGGTGAAAACAACCTGAAGTTCTACCCAGAAATAATCAGTGTTAACATTTTCTTGGAGATCCCTTTCTCTTCCTCTCTTTATAGAATATTTCAAAACAAAAGGAATCATAAAAAATGTCATTCTGTAACTGGCCTTTTTCATTCAACAGCAGCTGTTTTCCATGTTAGTACACATATAACTCTACCTTAGACACAGCATTCCACTGAAAAATGCCACAATTTATATATCAAATTTTCTGCTGTTGAATATCTCAGCTGTTTCCATCATTTTAAATTTTTTTTTTTTTCTTTTCTTTGCTGAGGAAGATTCGCCCTGACCTAACATCCATACCAACCTGCTGCAGGAGATCATAGCAGCATTCTTGCTAGGCTGTAAGACTAGGCTGATACCAGATTGCTTGTGCCTTGGAATCAAAGGCTGGAAGGAAATATCTTATCGAGCATGAAGCCAAGGGGCTTAGGAACACCAGGCCATTGCAAGAACAGAATGCCATCTCCCTACCTTGCTGACTGTTCTTAAGATACTCCCCAAGTGAATGACCCGAGATGGGCTGGTGTGCTTTGGGGGGATGAAGAATAGAACCTTTGGACTTTGGCTTGCGTGTCCCTGCAGGCATGAGTTCCTGCTATTGTACATGCTTGAGATTCTTTACCCTCAAATAAATACGTGGTGATCCAAGGGACCTCACCTCAGTCCTTGAGGCTGATTGTCCCATCCCACTGAATAATATAGATTGTGTTCTGTGTATTAATTCCATCTGCCCCTTCGGCTGGCTGCCTAGCTGGTCTCAGCAGCACCAACCTTCCTCTATTTTTTAGTATGTGAGCCACCACCACAGCACAGCCACTAACAGAGCAGTGTAGGTCCACACCTGGGAACTGAACCTGGGCCACTGAATTTAACCACTAGGCCACTGGGGCTGGCCTTTTAAATGGTTTTTGAAGATCACTGTAAATGCATACTACTTTGTGCACTTGATTAGAAAAGAAAAACCAAAAAACAGTAATCAAAGATTGGCACCTGAGCTAACATCTGTTGCCAATCTTTTTTTTTTCTCTTCTTTTCCCCCAAAGCCCCCCAGTACATAGTTGTATATTCTAGTTGTAGGTCCTTCTGGTTGTGCTATGTGGGACGCTGCCTCAGCATGGCCTGACGAGTGGTGCCATGTCCACCTACATCCACGATCTGAACCAGGGAAACCCTGGGTCACCTAAGCGGAGCACACAAACTTAACCACTCAGTTACGGAGCCGGTCCTATCACCGTGTCTTAAAGATAAATTTTTCGGACAATTCTTTTTTTTCAAGGAAGATCAGCCCTGAGCTAACTGCTGCCAATATTCCTCTTTTTGCTGAGGAAGACTGGCCCTGAGCTAACACCCATGCCCATCTTCCTCTACTTTATATGTGGGACGCCTACCACAGCATGACTTTTGCCAAGCAGTGCCATGTCTGTACCCAGGATCAGAACTGGTGAACCCCAGGCTGCTGAGAAGTGGAACATGTGCACTTAACTGCTGTGCCACCGGGCCAGCCCTCTGACAATTCTTAAAATCTAAGATCATTTTATTAAGCCCCCTCACACCAATTTCCTTGAGGATTTAGAATTTAGAACGGCACCAACTGTATACATTAATTTGGGAAGAACTGACATTTTTTCAACGTTAAGACCTTTTATTCATGAGTGTGTAATCTCACCTTCATTTACTCCGGTCAACTTTTAGGCCCAAGTGTTTCTAGTTTCACGTGGAAGCTCTGCACATTTCCTTCCAATCTTTTCTCCATGCACACACTCTCACTTTTAGAACAGATTATATACTTCATATAGTTTTATCACCTTCATTTTCTATACACTTAACATATGTGAACATCTTTCATTTTCTGTTACAATTTTTTTTTTATGCTCTTTTGTTTATTCCATGAAGATGAGGCATGAGCAAGACACAGTGTAATCCTTGAGATGCTTACACCTCAGTGAAAAAGACAGACATACAACTGGGGATATGTTCTAGAATAGAACCATGAAACAATGCTGTGGGATCCCTGCAGAGGGAGGGAGATGGTCCAGCCAGAAGGACTTGGGACAGATTCCGGGGCAGGAGTATTCTGAGCAAGGGTTGGTTTGAAGGATGCGTAGGGACTGGCCAAGTAGGGGGAAGGGAAAGGAAGTTTTCCAGACACTTTTCAGATTTGTAGAGTGGAGATCATAATTAGAAGCCTCAGAAAGTTGTTTGAGAACAAATGAGATAGTATGTGTGAAAAAACAAACTTGGCAAACCATCAAATCCAAGAACATGAAGCTATCTATCAGCATAGGCAGGCTCAGAACTGTGCTGCAGAAACACACCGGTTGAGTGTAGAGAATGGCAAGGGGGTGGGGGAGACAGAGAGTTGAGAGTCTCTATCAGATGCCACTGGTCCTACCTGGGGAGGGACTAAGCAAGGGGGAGGAGAAGCAGAGAGGAACGCTCAGGATGCTGGGAGAAGAGAGTGTGCCTCCACATCGCCAGGCCCCCCAACGTGCTTGGCGCAGTGCTTCTTGCCTAGCAGGCTCGAGCGATGCTGACTAAGTAGATGAATGACAGGAGCAGCCCCTGTTGCCTGATCAATACATACATACAGTCTCCCACTGTGTGATCCAAGTGGGAAGAGGACAGCATCAGTATGACACAGTGCTTCACTACCTTGGAATTGGAAGACTCGTTGTATTGGTGGCATTCCATGTCACCCCACATGGAATTAGGCATTTTGCTTTCCTGGGAGACTCCAGGGCAGTAACACTGGGGGGAACATCATCCATACTCCTCTGCTGAGAGCTGGCAGAGCAGAGGTGTCAGACAGGGATGAGGGTGCAGAGGTGGGCACACCCTTCTCCAGGGGTCTCCTCTGACCTGTTGCAGCTGGTGTGCCCTCCTCCCTGATTTGGACATGGTACCATGTTCATCCCGAATGACATAAATTGATGGATTTCAAATCCATTTGGGTAGCAAAGCACCTGGAAGTCATGGTGCTTTGTGTGGAATGCCTTGAAATACTGATAAATTTAATTCCATTGTGTGAAACAGGAACACTTTTGTTAGCAGGAAAGCCAACTACATTATATGTGCATTATGTTTCAGTCACAAACAGAACACAGGCTGTCAAGTTCATCAATGCCCAATGCCTCAGAGGCCCTCTGCTTTCTTTTCTCAGTGAGCGGCACCACTGGCCTCCCAGAAACTAAGGTACAAATCCAGAGATATCCTTGACTACTTCTCCTTCTGCTTGCCCACATCCCCACTCCCAATCCACATCTATCCAATGACCAAGCTCCATGAAATTGTCTCCAAAGTTAGCTCCTGATTCTGAACGCTTTTCTCTGTCCTCACTCCCACTAGTTTCTTTCAGACAACCACCATCTCTCACCTGAATTACAGCATCAACCTCACCCGCCTCCAAGTCACAGCAGCCAGTGACTTTTCTAAAACACCAATCCAATGGAGTCATTCCACTGCACCCAACTTTCAGGGGCTCCCAAGCAGTTTACAAGACCCGATCTGACCCATGAATGGCCCTGCAGTCTAATTTTCCCCAGCTTCACTGCCATATTCTACATTTTTAGCCAAACAGAATTATTTGCTCTTTGGGATTGTGTTGTGTTCTCTCTGGCTGGAACATCTCCCTTCTGTACCACAATTTTTTCTTTTTCCTTTTTTTTTGAGGAAGATTAGCCCTGAGTTAACTACTGCCAATCCTCCTCTTTTGGCTGAGGAAGACTGGCCCTGAGCTAACATCCGTGCCCATCTTCCTCTACTTTATACGTGGATGCCTACCACAGCATGGCTTTTTGCCAAGTGATGCCATGTCCGAACCTGGGATCCGAACCGGCGAAACCCAGGCCACCGAGAAGCAGAACGTGAGAACTTAACCGCTGCGCCACAGGGATGGCCCCATACCACAATTTTTAATGATAATATAGGAGCCCATTGAATGAATTTTCCACAGTTTATTTAATTACTGTAGAATGTTTAGGTTGTGTTTTTGACTTTTGGCTATTATAAATAGCTCTCTAAAGAGTATCTGTGTATATACATCTTTTTTTTCCACCTGCTTTTCCTAAGGACAGCACATCTCAAACATGTTCACCAGAGTAGAACAAACAAGTGTTCTCAGGTGACCTGGGGACATAGGCTCAAATGACTCTGCAACCGCAAAGTTGTCAGTCTCATGATTTAACGCAATAATTCATATACATTTTTTGTTTTACTCCACAATATGCTGGCATCTGTTTGCTTCAATGCAGAAATGTTTTAAATCACTCATCATCAAGTGAAACTGATACTTTAGCAAGACAGGATGTTGTTCCTGGGTCTCATATATGCCGTAGCACATCACAGTTTCCCATGGTACACCCAACCCCTGTGAGAAACAATGCCCTAGGAAAAGATGCCAAAAGTCCGTCATGTTTTGAAAGATAAAGCAAGGATCCAGAAAGAACACTTCTGCTTTATATTTACTAACATATAAAGATCTCTAAGACATTTCAGGTGAATAATAAATAGGGCCTGGCCTGGTGGCGTAGTAGTTAAGTGTGCACGCTTTGCTTCAGCAGCCCAGGGTTCGCAGGTTCAGATCCTGGGCACAGACCTACACACCACTCATCAAGCCATGCTGTGGCGGCATCCCACATTAAAAAAATAGAAGAAGACTGGCAATGGATGTTAGCTCGGGGCCAATCTTCCTCACCAATAAATAAATAAACAAACCCATGGAAAAAAACAAAAGAAAATAGGGGCCAGCCCTGTGATGTAGTGGTTAAGTTTGGCATGCTCTGCTTCGGTGTCCCAGGTTTGCAGGTTTGGATCCTGGGCATGACCTACACCACTCATCAGTCATGCTGTGGTGGAGGCTCACATATAAAGTGGAAGAAAACTGGCAAGGATGTTAGCTCAGGGCTAATCTTCCTCAGCAAAAAGCCCAAAACTCCACAGAACAATGCCATGTGTTTTTTATAGCTGTATATACATATGTGAATGCAGGGGGAAAGATCTAGAGGGCTAACAACAAACTGCTAACAGTAGTTACTTTGTGAGGAGACAACTGGGATGTGGGGTATAAGACAAGGTGGCCAAAGAGGATTTAGGCCTTAGAAGCAATTTTTAAATTTTTGACAAAAACATTATTTTATTTACATTAAACCTACAGACGACAGCCATGGAGGTGGGGCAGGGGGAGGAAGCAGCATTCCACCTGCAGATGTCCAATAGTCTGGACTGACAAAAACTTTCTTTTAGCACTCACCTACGGACACTGGCAATGGTCTCTCTGTTTTTGAAACGACTGAATCGGGCAGTGTAGTTTAAAGTTTTCATGAAGACCTCAGAAAGTTCCTGTTCATCCTCTGCACTCTCATTCTGTTGCTTTCGATGCTCCAGAAGCATATGAACTTCTGAATTTAGAAGCGTCTCAGCTGTTTCAAACTCTATTTGTGAGAAGCATAAATGTCAGCTGAAAATATTCCTTCAAAAGTCAGCTTCCAAATGTTCATTTTACCTCTGAGACTAACAGCAGGTCTCTGTGCCTGCAGGAACCCAGAGGCTTCATATCCCACAACTCTACCTTCATCCAGACTTGGGCGCCACCAGCCACAGTGGAGGCCATGAGATACTAAAATTTAGCTCATGTGGGCTAGACAGTTTCTAATGTTAAAGAACCTGATCTCAACATGTTAATAAATAACGACACATCATTATCCTAATTAGGCCAGTTATTGATTTCAAAATAGAGCATAACCAACAATTATTTCCCTTTAGCTTGCATGAGCTGATAAGGTTTATATTTCCATAATGTTAATATACTCTGAATTTTAAGAATTATTACATGTTACAGAGGGCCAGTGTTCGGAAACACAGATTAATAATATAGCCCAAATTCTATTTTTATACTTGTACAAATCTATAATTTGCCCCTTCACTCAGTTCACTGCCTATTATGTACTACCAGGCATTGGGCTTGGCGCTAGAAGTCCCTACTCTCTGGATTTCATAGTCTAATACAGTCTATCAACTGAACCTAATTCAGCTATTTACCATGGCACAGATCTCTTGCCCTTGATACTCATTTAAAACAATCCTCTTGACGAGTAAGAATACCTACAAGCAATCTTTAAAAAACTAGGTTTGAAGGAGAAAAAGATACTCATGGCTCCTTAACGTAATAAACGGTAACCTTTTCCTCTATTTTCAGAATAACAGTTAAAAATGGTATCCTGGGGCCAGCCCTGTGGCCAAGTGTTTAAGTTCACGTACTCCGCTTCAGCGGCCCAGGGTTCGCTGATTCAGATCCTGGGTGCAGACCTAGCACTGCTCGTCAAACCATGCTGTGCCAGTGCCCCACACAGAACTAAAATGACTTACAACTAGGATATACAACTATGTACTGGGGCTTCAGGAAGAAAAAAAAAAGGGGAAGATTGGCAACAGATGTTAGCTCAGGGTCAATCTTCCTCACCAAAAAGAGAAAAACAAATGGTATTATCTCCTTGGGAAGATGATCATTTCCCTTACATTCTCATAGGAGTATACCTCCTTAATACTTACTACAAGGTATTAGAGATGGTTTTTATCTGCCTTTCCCTTATCAGCGAGCTCTCCCAGAGCAGGAACCATCCACAAACACGAATTCATGTTTATAATCCCACAGCGATGAAGAGGAAGCAACAGTGAGAAGAATCCAAAATCACTTGCGATTTGGCATTTGCCTGTGGTGTACGTTTACTATCGGGGAGCTCACCAACACCTCTCTCAGAATAACGCCTTCCCATTTCTTGGGCCAGGCAACAAGAGCTTCTCTCTCCTTTCACAACAGCCTACGTGGGAAGCTGGCGAAAGGCAGGTTGGGTCAGGAGGAAACTGCTTTTACTTGAAAACGTTTTCATTGCTACTGAATATAATCAGCACACAAAAGGTATTTTCCACCTGAGGGCAGCAGTGTGAACAAGAGGAAGCTCCGAGCTAATTCCAGTCCAAGGGGCCAAGCTGGTGAGGACAGATGAAGGAACCACTGCCCCACAGCAATGAGTGGACAAGGCATTCAACATCAGGACCGTATGACTCCAAATCTCTGATGCGGGAGTAACAAGTGACATAAGAAAAAAAAAGCAGCAGCAGCTAACTAGCAGGTGAGTCTCAGCTTCTGACGCTGCAGCACTAATATAACCTTAGAAAATGGAAATTAAGAGGCTAAATAAGACTTACTAAAAAGAATTTAAGGCTCCTGAAAAATCAGCCAAACTTAGAGATGCCTCCCTTTCTACACTAAACCAAAGTTATCTTTTTTTTTTTTTTAAAGATTTTATTTTTCCTTTTTCCTCCCCAAAGCCCCATGGTACACAGTCGTGTATGTTTAGTTGTGGGTCCTTCTAGTTGTGGCATGTGGGACGCCGCCTCAGCATGGCTTGAGGAGCAGTGCCATGTCCGTGCCCAGGATTCGAACCGGTGGAACCCTGGGCTGCTGAAGCGGAGCTTGCAAACTTAACCACTCGGCCGCGGGGCAGACTCCCAAAGTTACCTTTTAAATGTAGTAGGATGGAACTTTCAGGACACCAGGAGACTAGTCACCATCCCTATTCCTCACTGAGAGCAATGCCCAAGTACTATGGATACATCACCCTCACTCCTTTCAACCAATGAAAGGTCAAGGCAGCCAAGCCGTGCCTTTGAGGACAGAGGAGAGGGGTGCCTGAGACCCACCGTGGAGCCTTGGGGAAAGCATTCCCAGGATCTGGCATCAATCAACGTGGAGAGAAGGAGTGGTTCAGGCACTTTTTTGTAACTACAGAGAAGCAACCCAAGACCTCTCCCCATGGCTAATCCCAACAAACCTTTTTTAGGTGACCATAGACACACACACACTCACATATACAGACACACACACACACACAGACATATTATACATCATTTATTTGGGAAACAAAAGGAAATAGATCAGGGATTATGCATGTTATTCTCCCTCTGTGCAGATATTTTAAGAACAATAGCCACGATTTATTAATCTCTGTTCCTGTAAGAAGGAAAACAATTCCTTGGTCAGTGCCTCATCTGGGAATTTTCTTGAGGATTCTTTATTACAATCATTAATAAATGTTTTATGACAAGGGTGGTGATTTCAGATGGTCTTCTTATACATTTTTCTCTCTAGAATAAAATGGTTTAGGGATTTCTTTAGTTGTGGGAGGGAGTGACTGGGATTAAATCATCTTTTTTGGAAAAAGTGGCTTACTTCCTAATTATATACAGCTGCTGTTAATTACATCGCACTGATGCAGGACAAATTTTAACTCTGGGCAAACATGCTTGTGAAAACTACCACTACAAATACCCAGAAGAGGGGCCGGCCCAGTGACACAGCGGTTAAGTTCGCACGTTCCGATTCGGCGGCCTGGGGTTCGCCAGTTCGGATGCGGGTGTGGACGTGGCACTGCTCAGCAAGCCATGCTGTGGTAGGCGTCCCACACATAAAGTGGAGGAAGATGGGCACGGATGTGAGCTCAGGGCCAGCCTTCCTCAGCAAAAAGAGGAGGATTGGCAGCAGATGTTAGCTCAGGGCTAATCTTCCTCAAAAGAAAACAAAACAAAACAAAACACAAATTCCCAGAAGCTTGCAATCATCTCATCCATTCTTTCAGTCCTAGAATGAAATATCACACATTTGTTTACTTTCCATCCTATAGCAAAGACTTTCCTTATCTTTTAAGTACTTACTGTTAAGTACAATATATCTACATACATTCTGAAATACTTAATAAACATTTTATATGCCTATATCAGCTGAGAAGTTAAAGACAGATATTTAGAACTGATACACTGTTAAATGATAAGATCTAAAATCTAATTATACACAATTCAATAAAATGTTCATGTGTACCAGCTGCTACCTGGTTTTATTAAAACAAACATTTTCAGTGTTAAAAAAAACACTAAATAAAAAGCACGTAGATAAAACTCAACTACAAAAAAACTGGCTTAATTTATCATGAAATTAAGAAAACTAGTTCCCTCCTAGTTATTACACCTTAAAAAAGAAACAAACGGGCTGGCCCAGTGGCCAAGTGGTTAATTTCATGGGATCCGCTTTGGCAGGTGGCCCAGGGTTTCGCCAGTTCGGATCCTGGGCGCAGACATGGCACTGCTCATCAAGCCACGCTGAGGCGGCCTCCCACACAGCAGAGCCAGAAGGACCTACAACTATGTACTGGGGGGCTTTAGGGAGAAAGAAGAGGGAAAAAAAGAAGATTGGCAACAGATGCCAATCTCTAAAACAAAAAGAAACATATTTCCATTATGCCAAAAACTTCTACGAAGCTATTCTTCGAAAACATTTGACCTCGAGTCTACGAAATAAAAAACCGGAAGCAAGCTATATGTCTATTAATAGATAAATAGCATTATGGTACAATCATTAAGTACTATCTAGCCCTTTAAAAAAATAAGACAGTTCTCTACAATATATTGTCAATTTTTTTAAAAGCTATAGGATTTCTATAGCATAATTCCAGTTTTGCAAAGAAAAAAGTGTACACGTATATATTATCGATGAATAAGCATAAAATGAGTCTGGAAGGATAAGCACTAAAATGTTTACAGTGCTTCCCTCTGGGGGAAGAGGGTGTGGAGTTTCACTTGTTGCTGTGGATACAATTTCTAAAACAGGAGGGTATTGTTAAGGTTTCCCCCACTTACTTCATGTTCTTCGGTATCTGTAAGATATGGTAGTTTAAAATCTGAAGCTTCCTGCTTATCGTGGGTTTCTAAACTACAAGGACAGTACATTCCACCGTGCCGAGGAAGTTCCCCGACATCGAAATGCGCTCTCCTCCCCGCCGTCTGCCAGCCTACATCTACCAGATACAATGAACAGTGTATCAGTTCTAAATATGTTGTCTTTAACATCTCAGCTGAAATAGGCATTATCAAACGTTTATTAAATACTTCAGAATGTATGTAGATACACTGTACTTAACAGTAAGTACTTAAAAGACAAGGAAAGTCTTGGCTGTAGGATGGAAACCAAACACTACCCAGGCTCCTCTGAGCCCTCTTCTCGACTAGGCCTCAACTTCGGCCCATAAAGACTTGAACAAAACACTCTCCTGATTTCTAACCGCTCACGGCCGCATCCCTAGGATGGCCCAAGCCCCTTTAAAGCGCCTGCCCGTGAAAACGCAAGGCCGCTAAAATAACTTACTGTTGGCTCCAGCCAACACCTGCAGAGAGGGTCCCTGTCTCCCAGCCCAGGGGCAGGGCAGGGGCCTAACTTCCATAGGCGCCAGTGAACAAACGGGTTTTAAGTGGACCAACGACCCCCTCCCCGCTGCCTGTAGTTTTTCACTTCCCTGACTCTACCGAACCCCACTATTCCCTCATGCTCCCTTTAAAACGCCAGATCGGTCCACGCTGGACTGCTTCCCCGCCGCACCAGAGCGTTACTGACTTCCACCTGCCCTGCCCACTTGGCGGGAGCCGGCTTTGCGCTGACACATCCCGCCAGCACCCTCCGGCTATCAGGTAAGACAAGCGACTTAAACAGGCACAGGAGGCCGCCAGGGGGCAGCGCGGGCCGGGTGCCGAACCGCGCCGGCCGTCTCTCGAGGCCACGCGTCGGGGCGGCCGGGCCTCCCGGGCCCGCATCCCCTCCTCCGGCCCTCGCCGCCCGGGGACGGCCGGCTGCCTGCCGCAGCCAGATCTTGGTCGGGCGCGGGCGACGCCAGGCCCGCGGCGACTAGGTAGCACGGCGGGGGCCGCCGGGCAGCCCCAGCCCCACCTTTGGGAAAGATGAGCTGTGAGGCGTCCTCCTCCACGTCGCCAGCCCGCGGGTCGCTGCCGCCAGCCGCCATCGCCCCGCCGCGCGCCGCCACCCACGCCGCCGGAAGCGGAAGCGCCCAGCCGCCCGCCGCGCTGCGGAAGGGGCGTGGCTGGGGGCGGGGCCGGGGGCGGGGGGACAGGAAGGCGGCCGAGAAAGACGGATCGGCCTTTGGCGGTCCGCGAGCAAGCGGAGGCCCGGCCGAGGCAGGGCGGGCGCCGCCAGTGCTTCTCCTGTTGCCCGGTGCGCCCTGTGCCGATCGTCCTGAGACCAGGCACTGGGCCTTTCCGAGCCCCAGCTTCCTCGCTGTGGAGAAGAGTGGATGAGGAACCTGCTCTCCGGGACGCGGGAAAGGACGGGCGGAAATGCAGGAAGGCGCCAAGTGGCTGACCCGAGGAACTCCCGGTGATGGAAAGCTGGGTAGGTGACTACGAAAACATACGGGGGAATTTCTTTCAGTGCCTTAAGCATTTAAAAGTTTTGATTGATTTTTAGTGGATTGTTGTGATACTTCTGAGCTCGTGGACAGTGATACTGAGAGGCCTTTAACACATCTCTTGGAGCATTTGGATGATACATAGAAAAGTAAGCAAATGAAAAATAATGCTGTTTTCAACGCCAAAGAAAACAGAAGGTTGTACCATAAAGGAAATAATCATAGTGCACTACTTGGCTCAGTAGTGAACAATGTTTAGGTATCGTGTAAACTCTTAACAAAAAATGAGTTAAGGTATTACTGGACAAGAATATGCGTCTGTATTCCTTTGACTTGTAAATATAATTTTTACAAAATTAGTTTGCTCTGTATCTTTATTTCCAGAAGGACTGTATTGGGTAAAAGAAAAGTTGATTACATAGTATTGGCAGAACTCATTACTATTTCAAAGTGCTTTCCTAGACAGGTCATTAGAGCTGCCGACAGATGTCCTGATGGAGAGTCCCAGGACGTGCAGCCGCTGGGTATGGAAGTGGACCTGGAACTCAGTGCAGGCCTCTTTCTTCCATCTGTCCATCTAGCAGGCCTTTACAGAACACCTACTGCTCACTGGACCTTACCATGTGCTGGCCCAAAGCTAGGTGGATACCCAACACTTGGTATCCTCTGCACACATACAGCAGGAGAGAAGTCAGCAGGTGAGGAGACTTTCAAGAAAGGAGAATAACAAATAAGACATACGGTGACGTTTCACAGGTTGGTTTGTCTACAACATTTCCATTCGGGAAACCATTATAAACACTGACGTATAAGGCCCTGGGGTTAAACAGATGAGTCAGTCACCACAAGGAGCTTGCCAAGAGTAGTTGATGCAAGATCTGGACTTATTTTCCATAATAAAAGACAGAAAGTTGCAAGTAGGATGAGAGAAAGTCAAAAAAAGTGCTGTGGAAGGATGCAGAGGGAAAGAGGTCACTTCTGATTGGGGGCAGGTGAGTTAAGACGATCTGGGGAGCTGGCACTGGAACCGCTCAACATGTAGTCAGTGATGGCGGAGGAGTCATATGAACAAAGTTGTCAGGTACTTAAGAGAAATATTCGCTCTTTAGGGTAAATTCATATTTCAACTTCCTTAAATGTCATTTTCATTATATCATTCTTGAGAAATGAAAGAAAACACAGTAATTATGCAGCCCTCATACTCATTTGCTACATTTTTCATTAATGGTGCTCTATCATTTTTTTCAGTCAAAAGAATAATTTCCCCCTTTTATAACCTTTCAGAGTGCTTCTCAAAGAATCCCTTGTGGACTGAATCACTCATTTTTTTTCCTGGACCCAGGTGTCCTGCCCCTAACGTGGAATGATGACATGTTTCCCAGTTCTCCATATGCTCAAAGTTAATGTACAGGATCTCCCAATTTAAGCTATTCTCTCATAAGTTAAAAAAAACTTTGGCACCAGCTGCTGAAGCCTGCTGGTAAGTGCTACAAAGGAAGCCAAAGGCATCTACATGAAATCCTCTCCCTCTTGCTGTTAATACAGTCTCTAGAGATACAGAGGAATGGCGTATATATGGTGGGGGTAGGGGGGTGTGATTCTGCAAATAGCCCTGACTTCCAAGCACAAAAACCTCCAGGGGGCTGTCCTGGGAGTACCGGACTTAGATTCTAAAGCCTCTCTGTCCCGTGGCAATGTGGCAGGGCAGTGAGCCCTGAGAGGGCTCGTCCACCCCATCTTGCTGTGCTGGCACTGTTGTTTGACTCTACCTGAGAAGCTCTCTCTTGTTGAGGTCAAGCTGGGCTGACTTCAGCACCCTTGTCTTTCAGGAAGCCTGTCTGACTTGAAGGGCTGAGCACACCAATAATGCCACCTCTTTTCACGTGCCCAGAGTTGCTTGGGGTTTGGAGGGCTTGACACTTGCCCATCTGTTCCCATCCACACTTAGCACTGGATGACGGTCTGTATAGTCATAGTCATTCAGCCAGTGCACCATGTGCTGGGGCCTGGCAAAGCATTTCCAACAGGCTATCTTGGAGATTCACAGGCCTGTCACAAAGTAGAAAATTCGACTCAGAACTAGTTGTCTGGCTTGTAAATGGTGGGACCAAGATTTGAGCTCAGGGCCGGCCCCGTGGCCAAGTGGTTAAGTTCGCACGCTCTGCTGCAGCAGTCCGGGGTTTCGCCGTCAGGCCACGTTGAGGCGGCATCCCACATGCCACAACTAGAAGGACCTGCAACTAAGATATATAACTATGTACCAGGGGCATTTGGGGAGATAAAGCAGAAAGAAAAAAAAAAACAGATTTGATCTCAAGCCTATCAGACTGCCAGCCTGTGAAGATTCCAGGGTCAGCCCTCTGGGTTACTTCTTTGGTTGGGAACCAAGGTGGGATCAAAAAATGAATGGCCATATGGGCGTGGGGGGGTCTGACTGGACTCAGAACTTGAGAGACTGACAGTGTGAACTTGAGACCTGTCTCCTGTTTGGTTCCCCCCATCAGTAGTTGGTTTTGAAATTGGAGGGGTCACCTGTTTTTCAGTTTGCTGTAGCATACCAAACCTCATAGGAACAGATTGAGTCAGCCACAGGAAGAGACCCCAGAGTCCTTGTCAGAGCTTCATTTTAGAATGAGGGAAACAGACCCAGGAGGGACAGGACTAGCATTACATTCCTCAGGACGCTACATGGTTCTTTGTACACTATCGGTTCAGAGTCAAATCCTTCAACCAGCCCACTGTCGTATTTGTAAGCCAGGTATTCAAGCCAAGGTCACAGACCCTAGACTGATCTGGAAGCAGCTATAGATGAAACTACCGCCACTCCCACAACAATTAGCACCACTAATCTCTGACCAGATGGCTTAGTTTACATTTCAAAGGACAATAGGGATGGTTAAAATGGCGTTTTATGGTTTTACCTCCACCAAAAAAGAAATGATATGGAATTACATGCTGTTTAACTACTACAGGTGATATTACAGATAATATGCAATAGTAATCTCTAGAACCATAATTTCTCTTGAAGAAAGAGAATTCTGGGGCCGGCCCCGTGGTGTAGTGGTTAAGTTCATGCACTCCACTTTGGCGGCCTGGGGTTTGCCCGTTCAGATGCTGGGCACAGACCTACACACCACTCATCAGGCCATGCTGTGGCGGCATCCCACAGAGAACTAGAAGGACTTGCAACTGGGATGTACAACTATGTACTGGGGCTTTGGGGAGAAAAAAAGAGAATTCCTCTCATACACCCCAGGGTTATTACCAAATCTTTAATTGTTTAACCAGTTACTTGTAGTCTGTTTGCAAAATTATTGCCTAATCCTGACAGCACTCATACCTGTGGCTTATGAGTTCTGCCAAGTGTAAGGCCCTCAGAACTGTGAATCTTAAAAAAAAAATTTACTTTCTTGCAGACAAAAATCTAAACTGAAGGTTGACAATCCCAGCATACGAACGTTTGTACATTTGAAAAATTACTCATTGCCATTATCTTCAAAGACATTTCATCCTTTCTGGCCCATCCAAAAGCAGTAAACGTTTTGCTTTTGGCCAGACCATCAATATGTCCTAGGGTCTTTGTGTGGATTAACGTCACCAGATGATATCTTAAATTTGAGCATTTTTTCCCCTCTTCAGTTTTTAGCTTTTTGGGCAAGGTCAGTTTCATTGGAAAATCTAATGAAAACTATGAGCCTTCTTTCTAGAAAAATCCAGACTTCAAAGGATTCATGACCCCTAGTTCAGGAAACTTGGCTCTAAAAAAACAGTGGCATTGCTACTAACCACAAAAAAATAAACATGTTCAAGGTTATTGGGGGTGATGAACGCCACATAAAATATTCAGGCTGAGTGCACACTGTCTGGTTGGCTGTCTTCAAAAATAAGATGACTGTTACCACTATTCTAAGAAAAAAAAATAGGCACAACAAAGAACAATTTTTACCCATTATGATTTATTCTCTACAATATTTTGTTAAAGAGTTCAATGATTTGCACTCTGAAGTTATATAGCCAAGAGGCAACCAAGTGTAATACAAAGAATTGGTCTGAAGTCTTTGCACTGAAGGCCATACAAAGTCTCTTGCTTCAGGGAAATAAGAATGAAAACAAACAAAAAGAACACATAGCTTCCTAGGCTCCAGAATCTCAATAGAAAATAACATCAACAGTTAGTGAAATTGTAGGTGTTAACATATCATGGAAAACAGATCTTGTGCAAATATTAAAATTAACACCCAGGACTTCTGTATAGATGATTTTTTATTATAAACAATAAAATATATGTAATGTCTCAACTACAAACCTTTCATGTTGAAAGGATCTCTAACATGAGTTGCTTTAATATTATGAAGCAAAAAAGTTTAAGAACCTCACAGTGGAAACAATCCAACACGACAAACTCTAGTGATCAAAGACATTCTTTTTTAGTTAATGTAAAACAAGGACAATTCATAATTACAGAGAGAATGTCCTAGCTGTGGGTATTATGAGACAAGTCAACTTTCCAGACCAAAAGGCACTCACAGCTAGGGATGAAACAAACTCCGAACCAAACCAGCCACGTTGGGATGGTTCCTTGGAAACAGTGGTTACCTACTGTTCAGCTCGAGCAGCCCAAGGACAAAGGAAACACCAAGCAGAAAACATTCCCTTCTCTTGAAACCTACCACTCACACTACATTTATCGGCCACCCTCATCACTGCTTTGGTCAAGCGCGTGGAAGGCAGTTCAATTCCAGTTCGGAGCTGTCATCTCCCTATGCAAAGCTGCCGCATGGATGATCCAGACTTAGTATTTTTCCTGAGAGCCACCTGCCACACATCTTCACGAGGTGACCATGACCGTACGCTTCCAGACCGCTTCCTGACTAGGCCCCATTCAGGACAGACACTAATGGTGCCACTCCTCACAGGGCCAGACAGTTTTCCTTGGTTGACTCCTGAGTCCCCCTGAAAGGCAAGAGGACCTTGAGTATCCCCATTGCTGGACTTGTATGGGAGCATGAGGGAATGTGCAGGGAGTAAGGCTTCTTCACTCCAAAAACCACTGAGCCCACTTCAGTGTGGTGCTGGGCTTCACCAGCCCGATTCTTGTGCACTGATTTTTTTTCCCCATTTTGTGGGTTTTTAAATTTTCTGTTCATTTTCTTAAATGGCAGGTATCCTATCCCACCCTCAATAAAATAAAATAAAAAACATACTATACACGGAAGAAGACAAATAGGGCAACATTTCTACAAGAAAAAATAGGCTTGAAGAGCATGGCACTGTAAATGCTTGCATGACCAGTCTCACTGAGCGTGCTCAGGGGTGAAAGTTTAGCACCAATTTTTTTGCTTTTTTTAATCTTTAGAAATTAAACACAACTTTTAACATAGAACACTTGAACAGTAATGAGTGTAGCCCTATGTATCAATACTGTTGTACAAATTGGAGGTGGGTGGCTTAGTCCAGAGCTGACCACCCTGACATCAATCCATGGCACCTAAGAGTAACTGTCGTCACATTTGTTTCTAACAAGACATTTATTATTCTCAGCAGCAGGAAATCATGAAACAACCCCTTCATCTTCAAAATCTTTTTTCCATTGACATTGCAAGGGAAAAGCAGCAGGGTGCGAGAACGCAGCACAACAGTAAGATGAAGTGATGCGGCCTGGCCTGGGCATCCTGACATCAACCCACTTTTCCCTTGCACGTTCTGTATCCTCGTGAACAGCAGAGGATGGTGCCAAGCAAATCTGCTTACCCTTATCCAGCTCTTCCAAGAAATGAGACAGCAATGCCTAGAACAGCATGTGTATCGTTTCTTAGATTGTGTCCCTGCTCCCCCTCCCCTGATTCCTGGCAGAAGAAAATTCAAAAGATCTTTTGACTTGAATTATTTGCCCATTTCAGAAAGCCACACCATCACCACATAAACTTTAAAAAATAAATTAAATCAAAACATTGTGTTCACTGGGTTGACACCCAATCCACTTCAACAGTTCTCTAAGCATGTTGTTGAAAACCAGTGTATCACCCTTAGGGTCCTTTCTTCCAACTGGCCACCTCTTCCTGTGAATCATTTCAGCAGTGCCTCTGTGACAATGTTTTCAAAGCATCTTCCAAGTCCCCAACTTCTATGAACTTTGCCATCAAATGAGTGAAGAATAGGCAAGAGAGAGGAGAAACTTGCTGACAGCTATTTGGAATCAGCAACAATGGGAAAGAGAAATATGCCACATGAAAGTCTGAATGACCTAGAATAAAATGAGCTTTCTGGAACTTTGCCCTGGTGGGGTGAAGATTCCCAGTGTGTTAGGCAAGATAAAGATTCACCTTGTTTAATTACACAGCTTTGCTCTAAAGTCCTGTAAAGGACTAAAACATCAATAGTCTTCCCACCTTTACAGGCAAATTAGAAAAAGGAACTCCTCTGCTTACAAGTCCCTCAGGATATTTGCCTGAAAAGAGAAACAGCTTGGAGACCCTGGATTCTCTCCTATGACATGTCCTTCTAAAACCCAACCCAAGTGCTTGTGTGCACAACTATGCCTTCTGAGAACCTAGATCCAACTATAGGCACTGCTACCAGTAGAGGAATGAGGTAGCCTGGTGGTAAGGAAGAGGTCTCTCCTTTCACACTGCATGCAGCGATGACATCAAGACCTCCCGTGAGCATCCCAGTCCATTCCTCAGCAGGCTACACCACAGAGCTCCGTTCAATACCAGGAGACTCAATGCAGAAAGAGTGCCAGAAAATCCAACTGATAGTGGGATGAGAATTAAAACTTTCGAGGCTAATTGAGCAATGAGATCTGCAACGCCATCCAAAGGGCTTCCGATCTTGATGTGGGTCTCTGTCCAGGAGCCTCGAAGGACTCATGGTGCCCACGTTCAACCCTAACATGGCGTCCACTTATGAAGCATGGAGGTTGTGATCAACTCTTGGTACGCAATAAACTGGAAGTTTAAAAAAAGGAATTTAAAACAACCTAAAAATGTTTTTTGTTGGTCTCCGTTGCCCAGACTGCCAAGGGAATACACCTACTTGATCTGGGGAGGCTGTTGGGGTGTGTGTGGGGTAAGCCTTCATGGATCATCAATTCCAGCTTCCATTGTGTGGCCATCACACAGGTGGCAAATCACCAGTGGCACCTGCATGCCAAGGGTCTTCTGAACCCACACGGTAATTCTCACTAGTCACGGAGGAGCCCCAATCCAACGGAACCCCATATTGAGGAAAGGCTGAGATAAGGCTTGGGCCCCTCAAGTTCTGTTTCATTCAATATAACCCCACCCCCCCCTCAGTCAGCTGGAGGCAGACTTGGCAACGGAAGCTAGCATCATAAAATGGTGCAGTAATAGAAGTAACTGGACCAGGAAGAGGAGGCATCTGCTCCAATGATGTCATAGCCATTGGTGGCCACAGGGGGGTGGGACTGGTCATGCAGCCGTGTGTCAGGAGTAATGATTGTAGAGGGGCGGGGCATGAAGAGTGCCATTCTGGAAACAGTGCTGTCGAGAAGCAATATATTCTGCATAACTGATTGTCACCTTCTCACTTCGGTACCTGTATAAGGAAACAGGAAAGGGTATTAGGAACCCCAAACACTTCATTTTGTAAAGTCATTTAGCAGTGAAAACCAAAAGCATATTCCACATTTTGAAAGAATAAAATGGAAGACCAAGAGCAATCTTACTTACAGAAAATGAAAGACAGCACAAGAAAACAATGTTGTTATTACAAATGAACAAGATGAAAAAGCACAATCACAATTCACCCCTGAGAATGTATTTTCTGCACATCCCACCTTTAAACACTGCATATGCTTATCATCAGGCTGCTCTTAAGCAATCTGCTACTGGGGTCTGGATGAAGAATTTCATGGTCAAATTACATGGGTGGCAGATTGGAAGATGGCTGCACCAATGCCCAGTGTAAACTGTATATCTACTTTCAGGTTAAAATGTGATAAATTTGATAGAAATGCAACCTCAATTTGCAGAAAAGCAACAAACAAGTTATTTAGAACTAAAAGGGGCACAGACACCTAGTTCTGGGTCAAGTTCTGATGGAGCAGGTTAAAGGATCCTGGGGCTACATAGGACGGGTCTCAATTCCCAGATGAATATGCCATATCATATCACAGGGTCACCAGAACAGAATTCATAGCACTTTGGCTTTGCTCTGGAAAGAGCCATGAGTCAGGATGCAAAGCATGGGGTGTTACAAACCTATGGAGCCTACTACAGACCACAGGAGCTGGGTGTGACAATCCTTACCCAGAGCCATCTCTTTCCCACTGTTATCACTCCTCCACTGCAAGGTGATTATTCCTGAATTTTGACAGGGAAATGGCTGTTCAAATAAATTATAATAATAATAATAATAATAATGCTTTGTATTTGAAGAATTTTTTTTTGGAATCCAAAGCATTTCAAAAACACTGGGTTATCTTCCAAATAGACCTGTGAGGTTAGTATATGATTATTTAGCATTTTACAGATGGGGGGCCAACAGAGGCCCACAGAAGCCCAAAAGCTAAACCTCTCAATGTTTCCAATTTCAGTAGGGATGGGAAGAGAACTGACATCTACTGACCACCTACAATACTGCCTAGCCTTGGGTTAGAAATTCTTCATACATTACCCTACCATACCCTAAAACAACCCAAGGCATTAAGATTCACTTCTTAACCCAAGGCAGTAAGATTCACTTCTTACAGACAAGAAATTTTTTGCTGCTCAGAGAGGCAGAATAACTGGCCCAGGTCATCTAGCTGGCAGGTGGTGGAGCTGGGATTCAGAACCTAAGTTCATGCGCGTTCTACTGCATTAGGCAGCCTCCCCACAGAAGTATTCGTCCTAACAGGCAGAGGCGTTTCCTTGTAACTGTTTGTAAAAAGCATCTTCTGCTTATTCCATTAATATGCCACCTGTATCCTCTGCCACCTCAGGGCATGTGACTGCAGCTGACCCTGAACTTCTACACTGAGAGCGTTCTCTCTTGACTTTGATCTTCCCCTCAGCCTCCCAACAAGTGGGTCTGGCAAAGACTCCATGACTTGCTCAGCAGCCTAAACCCGGCTCCCACTCTGCTATTGGCTTAGCTGTGGAGACGCCCAGGATGCTGGGGAGAATCTCTGCCTCTGCTGCCACTGCTTCCTCAGAGCTCACATCTCACCCATACTTCCTTGGTGTAGGGACATTAGCTGAGAAAGTTTTTTTTTCCCCTTTTCATCAAAAGCATCCCCCAACTAAATTAAAATGATAAGGAAAATGAGACAGTGGCTTACCTGGTGAGTTTGATGGTTTTTCTGAATTCACTGGTAATTGGAGCCTTAAAGCCACCTTTTCGAAGCAAGGAGTCTATTGTCTGGATCTGATCCCAGTCTGAGAAGACAGGCACACTGAGGTCAGCGCACGATGACACAAGAGTGGGACATCTAACACGGTGAGAGGAGAGAAGCAGCCAACTCTGCTAGAGGAAGAGGAAGCCCTGAGCCCTGGCCCCACATCCCTGGAGCCCCGTCTGCCTCATTGACAGGCTGATACGATCTTGGAGACATGAGATGAGGGCCCGACGCATGCCATAATGGTGTCCCAGGCCTCCTGCTCCTGCGTCTTTCCTGTCAGATGTTATCCCAGTATAATTATCTAGGAACAAATGTGGTCCCAACTTTGACTGGCCTTCTGGGCTAGTGCTGGTAACCAGGGCTGTTCTGTGGAAAGAACGAATTCAAATTCTGCCGCTTGTATTCCTTTGTGACCTTCCTTCATCCTGATGATTTCTAGGAGTCCTGTTTTCTAGCACAGAGAACTAGAAGGATGGGAAAGTTGTTCACACAAATACTGTTGTGTTCTTCTTGTACATTTTTAACAGATAAAGCCAAAGAAAAACCTCTAAATCATGGCAGTAGGTACCCCAATTTTTAAAATTTTCCCAACCAATTTTCAAAATGGCAGAAGTAACTTGATTATTTTTCTAAGATATCATCAGGTCTCACTATGAGAAAATACTTCTGACGTGCCTCCCTGTACAGAAATGTTAAATCTATGACAGCGAAGAGGTGTCTAAAAGGCTTCCTTTTTATGCCATATCCACCCTGCCTTTGAAAAAGTTTAAACGCAACCATGATGGAAACCAACAAGGCAATCGCTCTCCACATAAGTGGTTCACTGACACACTGAATTAGACATTTTTCTCTGTTCCAGGTCCACACCCAACAAATACTGTGTATTTCACATATTATTTTCAAAAAGCAGACTAATTCCAAGAAAGAAAGAAAACCGGGTTGCATATCACAGAATGCACAAGCAACATTTAAAGGTATTCTAAACAGAAAATCGGCCCAACTCATTTCCTACCTTTCACGTGGAGAATGTAGTAACTATTCAATTCTATCATGTTTTGCCTTTTTCCAAATATAACATGGTTTAATAATTCAGGGCTAAAAGTTTAAAACCCACTGATACAGGCCACTTCCCTCAGTGAACTGCATCACATGGTCGAGGTGGTTGCCGCAATTTTGCCACAATTACACAATAGTTTTGGGGGCCAAGAAATAAAACTATTCACTGAAAGTAAGTGAAACAAGTGGGTGAGGAGGGAAGTCTTTACCCCTTTTCTTTTCCCAGCTGCTACATCGTTTTGGGAGTTTATTTCTCATTCTCTAAGAATTTGATAGATACTAAGAAGAAGAAAAGCACTCATTCTTAGCTGGAGTTGGGCTGAAAGGCAATACACTCCACTTTCCTGCCCTTTAATTTGTCACACCGAACAGTAGCGTTCACTGAAATCCCATTTGTCCAGCTCACCTTGTTCCTTAGCAACCTCAGGTAAGTATGTGGCTGTACGTTTGACGCCTTTTTCATTGATGAATTCAATTCGAATCCCATGGACCCCTACCTACAGAAAAACACAACCAAATAAATGGCCATTTATTTATTCTAATGGAACTTCAGTTATCTGGATTTAAATCGACCCTGTCCCCTGACCAGCTTGACCCAGGTTGGAGAAAAGGAAAATCTCTTGCTTTTCATAACTAACTCACTCTCTCTCAGGTATAGAAGCCGAAGAAACCTCAGCTTGAGGGAAGGTGCGAGTCTATGTGTAGCCACCTCTCTGACGGTACGAACGTTATAGAAATAAATTCTTTCAGTAGCCCATCCAATAATCTTGACTATTCCACCTTTAATCTATGCCATTAAATGAACATGCCACAGGGTTTTGATCTGGGTTCATGACTTTTCATCTATGGCTCCTAATAACATTTACTCAAGGGCTTACCAAGAGGGGTCTGGAATATTCTCCTTTAATCCCATTATTATTTCCTATTAGACATGGAAGAAGGATGTGGAATGGAGTGGACCAGGAAGAAGTGGGAGAAGAAGACAGCCTTCACATTTCTTCCTGCTTCTAATATTGCAGCACCTTTTCTGTCACCTATGTTGCCCACAATTGCTTCACATTCTTATACCCTCTCAGTGAAGGAGTACATTACCATGTACTAACCCGAACCCAAATGCAACGAGAGATGCAGAGTTCCAAATGCGGCTGTTCTCACCTCCCAGTCCAGGTAATCACTGGCATCCTCAAAGTTAGTAAGGAGGGAGACAGAGCAGAAAAGTTTAGGCAGCTCCTCTCGGGTCAGCGGGGGAAATCGGCTGTCCTTAAGTGCACTGGAGGGGGACAGAAAACGTAAGTGAGGTGCTCTGGAGCTGGGAGCCAACATCACGTGCCTGAATACTTACAAATCCTGAGCTATGCAGAGAACATCTATTATCCATCAATACTAATAAGCTCAAAACAACGTGATGTTATTAACTGTCTATACTTGAACTGATAGGTGACCCCTCAGATTAAAGCCCCCACATTTCCCGATTTCCAAAAAGAGACTCAAACTTTATCACTTAGAAGAAGGAAAGTCAGGCAGTTGTTTTTGATTCTAGCCAATTTATCTTGGATCCTATGTCTAGTGTCATTACCTGGTTAACGTGTATTCCCTGAGTCCTGAATGAAGATTCATGGCTGAGAAGGTCCCAATGCAGCCACGAAGCCGCTTGTCCCGCCCTGTCTTCCATGTCACAAAGAGCGGACTAAAAAAGTAAAAACACAAAACATTCTCCAGCCCCAAACCAATCATGGATAAGAACAAAACCTTGGCTATATCCCTGTTCATTTCTGTTATTCCCCAAAAGGACTGTTTTCTGAATTGCTGGCTCTGAAGGGCTCTCTGCCTTTCTGGGAGTAAGGCAGTCCCTGGATGGACACGGAGAGGAGCCCTCAAAAAGGTGGCACGAAGAAAGGCTCTCTGCAGGCTTTCCTAGGTTCCATGCTGACAGCTCTAAATCACTTTGACGCCACATGTATGTGCTATCCCCCTCTTCCTCTGCCCAGGACTCAGCTTTTCCTTCTTCTAATTCTCCATGTCCTTCTCTTCTTTACTCTATTTCTATGAATGTGCAAGTTCCCCAGTTCCATCCTTCATAAAGACACACCCAGCCTGGCTACCTTCATCTCTTATCTGCAAGCATTCCCTGCAACCCCACATTGTTCCCATACTTATTTCTGCTCCAGGCAACTACAAATATCTCCGGCTCATAAATGTTCAGAAAAGAAAAACAATGTCTCCTCGAGAAAGCTTATTATTAGCAGAAGTTGCCGCCTTCTGTTTCTAGGCCAAAGTCATGCTTCATTAGACTACATCAGATTGATGGTGACAGATTTTTTAGAAAGAGGTTACAGGCTGTCCCCTCTTCATGAGATTCCTCCATACTCCTATGCCCTTATCTCTGAGACTCTTAAGTTAAACACTTCTAAAAAGCAATTTAAGTTTTTAAAGTTATCTACTTCTTTGCTCATTGTTACAAAGCAGATCTCCCACCCACCCATCTTTTTCTTCCAATAAAACACGTGAACAGCACCAGCAAAGGTCATCGTCCCAAAACTTACTCAAAAACCTCTAAAAATTCCACTGTCTGCGGGATGGAAATATGAGCCCCTGAATACAAGGGCCCTCACACTGCAACACTGTGGCCACCACCCACTCTTCCAAACCTGTGTCCCTCTCCTATATGGGACACACCAACCCCACTTAGATGAAGCTCAGAATGCCACCTGCTCAGTCAGGATTTTTCTGACCATGGTATTCCATGGCAATACTTCCCTAAAAAGTTAGCACATTTTTCTCTACATTTCCTCTCTTCTGACACAATCACACAAGAGTAACTTCCCCCTCCCTCTGCCCCGTGTGCCACGCATACTATTTAGCTTCGAGCGTGTGACTTGCCAACTCAACTAGTCTCCCAAGAACAAGGACTTCTTCTGCACACCCCTCCGTGGCTTGCCCAGTGGGGCTAAGCACTGCCTCAGCACAGTGCTGAGAGCTGAGGAATGAACGATCTCAGGTCAATGAATGCTGCATGAGCATCTCCTAAAAACAAAACCAAACGCAGCAGTGCTCTTTAAAGCCAGCTCAGAGCTGCTTCCAATTCTGAGAAAGAAGAAACATTGGCGTGAGTTTCTTCACTTTACTTTGTGCTTTACACATATTCCTCATTTAAGTCCTTGACCCCGTGAGAGGGCTTAGGGCGAGTAACAGCCTGGAACCAAAACCAGTAAAGCAGAATCTGACATTCTTCACAGGGTGCCAGAAGCCCTGTGGGATTACCATGGGACTGCAGATGAATGAAGGGAGGGGACCCTTGTTAAGAGCATCCCAGCTCCCACAAATGAGCTCCTAGTCTCCAGCCTGGCCCTTAAGACACTCCCAAGTCACCTGGACTTCAACACTACGGGGGTCTACAATAGTGTGGTCGTGTGCTCTCTCCACCTGAGAGGTTAAATGACCTACCCATTGTCACATGAGCCAACAGAAGACCCCAGAATGAAACCCTCCTGATTGCCTCAACGTGACTTTAACGAGCCTGGATGTCTTCCAGACACAACCTAGTCCTCTTCCAGTACTGAATCCACTGAATGTTCCAGGTATTCTCTGGACATTTTCATCATCCTATTCCCATTACTCTTTTCCCATAACAAGTTAGAGCTTTTTCTAAGTAGCAGACTCTCTCAAGAGGACAACCAAAGAAAGACGCCATCATGCCTCTCTCCCTGTCCCCTGTACCTGATTATTTACTCACTAGGGGTCATTGGTGAATCTAGGAAGTCGAGGCTGTGGGAAGCCATAGAGGTGACAGTAGAGGACGTCAAAGCAGTAGCAGCACATCTCTGCAGTCACCACCAGATTCTTGGCGGTGTTGGCAGTTCCGTTGGGCCGGGGGAGAGGGCTCAGTGCTCCCGATGCGGGATTCATTCGTGTAATGGGAGAGTTTCCAGGTCCCAGAGTTAAGTCCGACACATTCTCCCGACCACTGCTGCCATCCACATGCTGGTGGTTTTGAAGAGGTCCTGAACTAGAGCCGGGGACAGTTGTGGACTGGTTCCCGTGACTGTGCGTTCCACTTCCAGACAACTTAGGCTTCTTGACCCCACAACAGCCTGCTGCCAACTTGGGCTCGAGTGGAGGAACACAACGTCTTTTTCCCATCCTGATTCAGTGCTCGAGGTCTGGAATGCTGCAGAACCCTAACCAAAAAGAGAACAGGTAAACATTAATTAAAGGTTAGTTAAAAGGAGAAAATGAAAATCAGAGAAAGAGTCTACATAGAGAGGATAAGAGTAATCCAATTCTCGTTCTCATCCAGGTAACATGGTGACAATGGGTCACAGACCAGCAGGGCTAGAAGAGACCCTGAGTTCTGGACCAGGGACTCCTAACCTTTGCCTAAAGAGGAACTATGGCTTACTTTCCATAAAGCTTATAATCACCATGGGTAGAGGCAGGCGAAAAGCAGCTCTCTCCTGCCCAGGACTCCCTAGGGGAGAAGGGAGGGTGGTGGCAGGCAGCGTGAGGCTGGCTGAGGACACCCGAAGACTGACTGGAACACTGCGCCTGACCCGAAAGACTCTTCATCAGGTTGCTCTCTCTACTTTTTCAGCAGCTCCAAACTGAACCACCCCATTTTTAAAGAGCCCCAGAGAAACTTTCACGCTTTTCCTTGTGAACCACATCCTTTCAGCATTTTCCTCATCACTAAGCTAAATCTGTGTAATTTCAGCCCAAACCTTAGTGAAGATGAAGAGCAGTTATCTGCCATTCCGAAAAGAGCACACCTTTAAACACAAGGCGCCCACCTTTCTGTGCTCACAGGGCTCCTTCTCCAATGCCTTACTCATTTTCTTTGGTTCTCCTCTGAGCTCGCTTCAATTTCTACACATCTCTTTACCCTTTCGAGACCCCATTCAAAAAAAGCTACAACCTAGCAGAAACCTTTATTCACACAAATGACCCAAGCTTCACAGTCCTTTTGTGAGGTAGCTATTTCTGCCCTGTCACAGCAAGGCAGACAGATGCAAAGCCACTCAGCTTAACAAAATGTGGCATCAGATGGGCCAGGAAACCAAGCGTCCCATCTGATGAGGCAAAGGAGAGGAAAGGATCTTTTTTTTCACTATTTTTTTTCCTTAAAAAGTCTAAGGTAAAAATACATAGCTATAACATGACCAAGATCTTTTCTATTGGCTGTGCCAATAATCAATAGAACCAGGAAAATAGACTCTAGTTACTTCAGGGTGAATAATACCAAAATTTGTAAAATTCTGCTGACTTGAGCAAAGTACCCTTTGTTTTTTCTCAAGTCAACACGTCAGTTTTAGTGCCCCTTCAATTTTATGTGTGTATTTATATTTATATATATACATACATAAATTATCCCACCTAAAATCTTCCCTGTGATTTGCACAGGGAGCACATAACTGCCTTTTTAGGCATTGCTCTGCAACATAGTGTTTTGGTTGGAAATTCTACCACCTTTTAAATCAAATTAGATATTTACATACCCATTTGCAATGCCATTATTTCTACAAAAACAACTTGTTACTTTAGCTTGAATGAGATACAAATATTATTTGTTTATGTTCTTGATATATGCTGATCCATAACAAAATACAGATTTTTATATCTACGGAAATTCTCAGTGAGATGAAAGTTGTCTGTAGCCAAGGAAGAATAGCTTGCACATTTTAATGTCTGGCTTGAAACAGGGGCTTCTTTTTGAGACAGCCTTAGCCAATTGATAGAACAAAACCTCTAATGACTAGATGCAGATGTCACTGTCTTGTTTAGATGGTTAAGAGAGGGAGCAGAAGGTCTTGGTTAAAAATGCTGCCTCCAGAGCCAAACGGCCTCAGTTCAAATCCTGATTCCTCCAGGATTAACCTCTCTATGACTCAGTTTCCTCAAAATGGGAGAAACAGTAGTACTTGCCTCATGGGGTTGTTAGGAGAATTAAATGAGTTCAATATCTATAAAGTGCGTAATACAGTGTCTGGCATGTAGTAAGTGCCAATTAATTTAGTTGCTGTTATCATCTGAGTTCTTGTTTGACCGCTGCCACCAGGATGGAAATCCCGGAGGGCCAGGGTGCCTCGCTGTGCACTCACGGCTTAGAGCAGTGCCTGCACTGAACAGGTGCTCCTTAAACAGGACTTCGTTGAATCCTCGAAACTACTCAGCAAGGCAGACGATATTACCATCATTTTCCAGAGGATGAACCTCAAACTTAATAAGCAAGATACCCTGCCCAAAGCCAGACTGCCACTAAGGGGCAGAGTGAGGATTTGGACCACAATCTATCCGTCAGACTCCGAGGCCTGGGTCTTCTCACCAAGCCACAAAGAAGAATGAGGCGTGCCAGTAATATCCATTGGATTCAGTCCCTTTCCTAAGTGCATGATAAAAAATTACATTCAAGGGCATACTAGAAACTAAGCTAACAGTTTGCAGAATCTTGCCAACAAAAATGGAGTAGGAAAAAAAACATCAAAACCTAAGCCCAAGCCAACATCTCAGCCATCACCCTGACACCCTGACAATTATTAGTCCCCTTGCCATTGTCATTTGAGTCCACAATGGACGTCACTGGCCTGAGCTCTTGACTTCCTACCTTGCGTCTAACTTGTGTGGGCAGCGGGTGTAGGATGCATGTGGAATGGAGCTGCAGGACTGTCTCTAGAGAGCTGGAGTTTTCACAGGACCCTGAGGCTCTGCCTCCAGAGAGCCCCAGACTTCAAAGAAGCAAAGAGAGGGATGAAACACGAAGGTTAAAAACGAAATCTTTCCTATTCTCACTACACCAAAGCGTACCTGAAGGAAGAACGAAATGTCATGAGACGGCGGCAATGCAGGCGTTCCTGAGCAGGTGTCAGCAGCCACCTGACATGCAACACCCCACAACAGAGCAATGGGAGGGACTCTCCGACCACGCCAAGGCAGATGAGCTCACGTCTGGGCAGACCCTGCCTCCACACCACGCACCGTCTCTGACTGCAGCGGAGCAGGGTCACAACCGATACCAAGTGTGTCCTTCGAACAGTTCCCCCACACCCTCCCAAACTGACCTGAAATACACAGAACCAACCGAAATCTTGTTTTCCTTTAGGCCCAAGCTCTTCTCTGGAGGCCTCTACGCAGATAACTCCAGCAAAATTCTCAACTAGGGACCAAACGCAGAGTTAGAGACTTTCCACACCAAAAATATATTAGAAGGCACTTCTTCCCGATAGCCAGCTTTAATAATTGTCAACATATGGCCAATGTTATTACATCTATAGCCCACCTACTCACACCATCTCCCCTGCTTGCACTGCATCATTTTGAAGGTATGTTTTTAAGGGGGCCAATATTTTACTTATCAGTCAGCATAAAGCAAATATTAAGTGAATTACAGTAAAGAGTGTGAAGTAAATCAGGATGCTGGTAGTAAATACTTTTTATTTACAACATCAACCACCATGTACCAATTTCATCAAAACTTTCTCTTTAGGTTTGACACTGTTCTAATCCTACTCCAACAAAGTGGGCATTTCACCACAACTAAGCAGTCCCAAACTCAGCTCCCAGGACTGCCCTACAGTGATCAAAGAGACAGTCGTTTCTCCAGTGGCTCAGCTTCTGAGAGTACAAAGCTACCTCAGAATAACAGCATTTCAATACAACAGACTAACCTGTTGTCTAACCAGCTAAAAACAAAAACCTCTACTAATATATCCTACCTCTTCTAAAACTGTGTGTGAATTTGTTCTTACCTTTCCTCAAAACCTCATAAAAACCATCAGCAATGGTACTTAGATCACAGTGGAAGTAAGTGAATGGTTACTGCGAAGTCAGGGCATCTGAAATAATTGGAATCAGGTGTAAAAACCCTCCCTTTACAAACGCATGCATCCCCGAGACCCTTCCAAGCCTTCAGTTGGTTACTCTCTCAAAGCTAAACTCAAGGCCACTTGAAGAGCCAGCAGCAGTGATCTCCTTTTCCTACTGTCTGTCTACTTTAGAGCAATCAACGAGAACGAACTAGTTAAAACTGAATTTCCACCCATACTTTCACAAAAAGCTAGAGGAAATAACACAAATCACTGTTGTACCTTTTCACTTCAGACCTCCTATCCTAGAAAGTGTTACATGAAGTATGATCTCAGAGTCGACAGTCACCACGCCCTTTACCTGACATGCAGAACTCAAGGGGTCCGGACCCTCATTAGGGTCCATAAGAAACGCCAGCTGGCGACTGCTCCCTCTCTGCGGGGAAGCTGAGCAGTGCTTTGTGGCTCTGGGCTGGGCAGCTTAAAGGCCACTTAAATTCCAGCCAGCCTTGAGCTCGTCACCACCTGTGGTCTCAGAGGCTGGGTGCATTTGTGTTTTCATCTTTCACAACACCTAACACAGTGTCCTGCATGGAGTATACATCCAACAGTCTTATGTACAGATCTCCTAGTAATTTCACTTACGTTTGCCTTTTTAATAAAAGGAATGTTTATGGCACAACCTCATCTTCAGACAGTTGTTTCCACTGTGAGATGCTGACTGTGGAGCCTGTCAGAAGCTGAAGGTGACTGCATTACAAGTATCTATTCTATCAACAATGTCAACTCTGTTCAGCCCAAACCCAGGAATGGTTTAATTCATAGCAAAATGGATAGCCAATGTGGACAATTCATTCTAAAAGTTAGGTCCAATATTCCCCACATGAACTTCTTGGTTTGATTTATGCTGGTAGCAGTCTTCTTTGCTACAACATACCAGTAACTGCTCAGTCCTGGACTCGGCTGCAGGTGCTGTTTAACTTCAGGCTGCTCAAGGCTCTCCTGTGACAGGCCGGACCTAGTTCCTAAACTGCACTTGAGAAGAATCTTTTCTTTCTGAATGATGGGGCACTTTAAGAGCTACCCACTGGAGCATTACTTGCCTGGAGGGCAATTTATGATTTTAGGAGTTACTGCAAATGATGTCTCACAAATTGCTGATCTTTATAAACAAGGTATGGAGACCAGGACTGAGGGGAGGAGGGAGGGACGCCGTGGCTGATGTGGCTGGTTGGGCAGGAGGCATTCCTCCCTTGTTGAGGGTCCCTGCCAAGGCTCCTGAGTCCACTGAAAACAACACGCTGATGTGTTCCCAGAGCAGCTCCCGTCTTCAGAGGACAGAACCTAGGCTGCGGGGTTATCGTCTTGTCTCAAATCCCAACTCTGTCCTGCCACATCCTGGCTGTGCAAACTCAGGCAGGTTATCACATCTCTGTGGACTCGGGCTCCTGCTACCAGAGAAGGTTGTCAGCAGTCAGTGAGTGAGACATGAAGAGCACCCAGCAGTTCTTTGGCATATAACTACTTTTTATTAAAGTGTCAGCTATTGCTAATACTACCAGTACCTCCACTAATCAAAGTATGGTTGGTTATAAAAATAACATAGCTTGAGTTCTTAGAATTTCTAGAGAAATAAATGCCCTCATAATAAAATTCTATTAAAAACTACCATGTAGTCTAAAAGATCATATTATTAACATGAAATTATTACTCTAATGACCTTGATGTTTTTCCTCTTTGGAGAGCAATGGTTCCTAATAAATCATCACTGTTCTTTTCACTGTGAGATGCCAGAAAACAAAGAATACCGGGCTGTCTGAGAGTTGTACACACTTCTATTCTCCCAGGGCCCTCTTTTAAGCTTACAAACATACACTAAAAAGAAACTAAACTTGCTAAATGTGCTGTTATTGTAGAACTCTTGCTATATAGAGAGTACTAATGGAACTAGGGTTTCAAAGTGATGAGATTTCAAACAATAACCAGATTAAAATATCTAGAAAAGCCTGGAAGTGGAAAAAGAAAATTGAGATACACTTTTTGAAGGCTAGCCTCAAAACAGCTTATTGGGGAGCATGACCTTATAACGAAGAAACTAGACATGGGAGGTAGGAAGGAGGCAAGAAAAGGGGGTCTCTGCATTTTCTCCCATTACTAGTTAGTGTCCAGATGTCTGTTCAAATCAAGCTTTATACAGAAGGGAACAGGCTGTTGTTTCCTTTGTGACACAGAGAGCTGAACTGAAATTCAATTTAATAATTATGTGAGCAGTGAAATAGCACCTGAGCTATAATTCCAGCCTACTTATGGAACCATTCCAAGAAATAGATGAAAAACCCACAAACATTCTGGTAGTCATTTCAAATAATCACTTCTATATTTTTGAAACCCCATCATACATACACACATATTCAAAACACTTGCTGTATGAAAATCTTCCCCATGAAATACAGACCTATCTATATAATTGCTTTTAAAAATCTATGGATTTAGAAAAATGCACAGAACCATACATTTTCATGTCAACTTAGCTTAAAGAAAAACATGAATATAGGAATCAAAAGTTTTGTTTTTAGATCCCCTCCCTTTACTGTGTTACCTATGGCAAGGTGCCAGATGTTTCTGGGCCTTGGTCCTTTCATTTGCAAAATGAAAATATTTGTCCCCTGCCTCCTTCACAGAGGGATTGTGAGTCTCCAATAAGATGTGAAGCACTTGAAAAACTCTTACAAGTGTTAGCATGTCGTTATTAATAAACTCAAGGGGACGAAGCAGTAATAAAAATTTTTCCATAACTTTTACATATAGAATTTTAGTTATTTTCAAGAAAACAGTATCACCATAGTAGATTTAGAACAAAATGTTCCAAAAGTCTCTGAAGACTATAACCATATGGAAGAAACTCAGTAATTGACCTTGACAGGAACTGCATTAACCCCTGAGTTATGATCTCTGGTTGTCTTAAAAAAATGATAAATTTGGGCTGGGGGGAGCCAGACCTCATGTACTAAAACACAAAGGGTGACTGTACCTGCTACACCACCACCTGGGTCACTCCATCAGGATTAGGGACAAGACACTGGCCTTTACACATTTAAATTATTCTGAAAGAGACCAAGTGGAACGAACTGCATCAACATGAGGACCCCCTCACGGAAGTCAAATAAAAGTGAACAAAGACTTACATCCTAAAGTTCTAGCACAGTCCTCGCCCCCAAAAATCCTGACAAAATGCTTTTCTAAGTATGTCCAAGGAAATACTCACTGAAAGCAGAAAGTTTGTATTGCCAGGGGAACAGCTACAACAGAGGAGGGGAGCTATTTTGTCTCTGAAATGAATTCTCTTCCTTCCGATTCCATTCCTTCTTCCTGTACCTAAGATGGAAATGCAGGTGCAGTCAATGAACAAAATCAGGGTAGAGCAGAGGTAAAAGATGGTTTCTGAAAAACTACAACTCAACTAACAATTTCTAGACAAAAAAAAAAAAAAAAGCCACGGAACAGGCTCTCCTCACCTCAAAACATTTCAAAATCTAAATATAAGGCAGCAATGGCAGTCCCATGCACTGAATCACCTCATCCTTGGCGTCATCACCAAGAAGGGAGGACACTGAGGATCAAAGGTTTTATTGAACCTGAACATGAGACACACTAAAACTTCCTCCACCACTAATTTAAATCAAAACTTGCTCTCAGGCCAACGTATACCATTTCAAGGCTCTCCAGTGGTTTCAGAATTCAAACATATTCCCAAATCCTCTGCAAAGACGGTGCTGAAAAA